AAGACCAAAGAGGCAGTCATTATTTGGAAGCTTCAATTACCAGTTTATTAATTCAGGAAACTGTACTTGCTGCTAGTTTATTTGTCAGGCAATGCCAACTGAAAAAAAAAGTTTAAACAATAAGAGTAATTATTTTATGTATTTTTACTACTGTTTTACCCTGAAATACTATCCTAATTTGGAAAAAAGCACAAAACGAGAATGAAATCTTTGCAACCAACGTATTACTGTCTCAACCATATAATGAACTTTTCACAACGAATACCTCCATTTCAATCAAGTGGCTAATCAGAACCATGATCTATAGTCATTCCACTTCTTTGAAGCACTCTAATACCCTATTGTTCTCAGTTTTCACCTTAGAAAACAACATAATTTCTACACAAAAATTCACATTCTTCCTGCTTTTGTTGCACATGACAAAATTACAGAAAAGACCAGCCCTACTGGAATTTATCAATCAATAGAGCATTCTTCTTTGCAAACTACAAAAAACACTCTGTCCTATATCCTGGCACTATGGAGCTCCCAGTACAATCCCTGGAAGGAGAACAAACTCTCTCTGGCATGCTCAGTACAGTGGACGGATTTCCCCCTTCCTGCCTTCTTCCAGCTGTGATAAACAAACACCAAAGCAAAGTCAGGCTCTAGAAAAAGGAAAATAAAACAGAACACAGTAGACTTCAACATTAATAATAAATCAAAAAGCTGTTCCAGTGTTACAGCAGGCAAACCGCATAGCAGTAAGGACAGCTTGTGTTCTGAAAAAAACCACTTAAATAATGCCACATCTTAAGGAACAGTGTTCGGGATCCCAGCACAGAGTCTGCAGCTCTGCCTTGTCTTTTTCTATCTGTTGATGCAAAGTTCCTTCAAAATAACCAATGAACGTATGTCTGGAATGATTTCAAGGTTCATTTTGTAGCCAGGTAGCACAACAAGTTTTAAAACCACTTGAAGAATTTGTGCAACGGATGTTTTCAATGCAGTGCAAAAATAAAATGTGATTTGATATCAGGAATGACATCACTGTCCTGTGATCCCTCATTTTATAAATAAAAGTAATTTAAAATTACAAATAATATTTATAGAGCTAGCTGAACACTTACAGTAAATAATGTGCATGACATCAGAATCCCTAGAAACAGTTGCAGCAAGCCAAGAAAAGTGTGGAAAAAATACAACTTCTTTGGTATTATTCAAAGGCTAAATTTAGCTTATTGAAGACTATCTTCCTCTAAAGTCAACGGGAAGACAATGTCGCCTTTAGACCAACGGTTCAAAGTAGGGGAAGAGTGTGAACCCTCTCTGGACAACACAGGAGTTATCTTGAGAAGGGAACCTGGAGCAGAGGCAGGGACACAACGTAGACTCTTCCCCCCAAGTACTGCCCCTTTCCCAGGCCAGGCTGGAATCTGAACATGCCGGCATGCTTTGCAGAAGAGTAAACACTTCCTGCCTCCTCCTTGCTTGGTCGGGACAGGTATTTCGGGCAGATCCACCTAACAGCATGCAAGGCTAATTACCTCTCCCCAGACCCTAATGGGAGATTTTCGCATGATATAGAGCTCCAAATTCTTGGGTTCTCACTGGATCCAGCCATATCTTCTCCCTCATCTTAGAAAAGCCTAAGGCAAGATTCAAGAGAAAGAGGATGTCAAAGACCTGGAGGCTAAGCTGGCACTACCCTGGCAGGACAACAGTTAAAGGCTTCCAGAGCAGATGGGAGGGCTGGGGTGGGGGGGGGGAAGAGATGAGCTCGGAAGGGAAGGGATGATCCTGCTGCACTGGGACACAAAACAGGCTCTTGGTGATGCTTGCAGTATTAGGTGCATATTAAGCACGTTATCACATTTGTCTTATACAAGTTTACGCACAGTATGTGCCAGACAGCCAGACTTTTACAGGAGGAAAAAAAAAAAAAGAGCAGTCTGAGAACACTGATCCAGAGGGCAGCAGAGAACAAGTAAATACCTTAAACAGCCTTTTTTCCCCTCTACTGCCTGCTTAAGGAGTTTATGAAGATGAATGTGATCATCTCCATGGTTTGGGGCTATCGCTTTTGCATACTTTTATCATTTAGTATCCCTACCTCTTCAGTTGCATTCAAGCAAGACAGCCTATGTTTCTGGTGTTTGGGTTTTTTTCAGGGGATGAGAGGAGGTTTGCATCCCCAATTTCACTTAAGAGTTAAGCGACACCCTTTATTACTCACCTTTATAATATTATTTGACCTCATAACAAGATAAAAATGGGGGAAAATTTTTAAATATTTATGTACACACATCAACATTTTACACAAGTTAATAAAGGTGGAAACTTGTCATGATATCACCCAGAGAAAAACATAACATTGTGAGTTGCTTTATGAACATAAGGGAACCAGGAGTAAAACAGTTCTGTAACTTCTAACAAACACATTTCTATGTATTTTTTCTCTTGTACAGTTTCACAATAGATGTCTGTAAACTTTGTGAAGGTTCTGGAATAGGCTTGGGTAGAACACACTGAAATTTCCCATGAAGAACAGACTGTAGATAGAGAAAACACTAACATTTTGGTTTGGATTAAAGCCAGTTGGAATTCATTTATTTACTTTGTCAAGTATCGGTTACTGCTCATATTCAGAAATACTTGTCCAGATAATTCTTTACTTGTTTATGCATTTCTTCAGTTTTTCATTGTACATTGGGTTTTGTGAGCTACAGGAATTCTGCACACAACCAGATGCAAGTTTTCTAAAAATGTGCAAAAATTCTTGAGGATTTGGTGCAACGTTACAGCTTTGTTGGAGACTAAGGGTTGTAACACCTTCTGGCTAAGCATGGCATTGGTAAGAACTTCAGACAGAAAACAAACCAAAAAAATCCTTGCAGATATCTGGGAGCAAGAAGAGAGAGCAGCAATTTTTTCAAAGGCTGCTTAATTTAAGAAATAAGCATATGGCTGCAGGCATACAATTTGTGAATTCTGCCACTCTACCTGTCACTTCCAAGTTTATAATAGCATACTGCACACTTCAGCAAGACATCAAAAGCGAGGATTTTATCAACAAAACTAAACAGTCTTCAACCCAGCGTCTGCTTTTAATACATCTATTCCAGAGATCCTGCCATCTTCCAGTTTTACTGTAGTGCCTTCCCCTCTCATACTGGTATTGCTAATCCGGAGGTATCTTTGTCCAGAGTTCATCTTTCAATACCAGTTCCACAAAGGTTCATCCTCTCCTTTTTCCTATAACATCTTTTTTTTTTTTCCGCCCTCCTCTTTTTCAGTACTCTTATTCAGAAAAAGACTTGAACTATTATCTTTACACTAAAACCTCTCAACCCTGCCTCAGAGTCCAGTCTAATTTCATTCAAATGGCAGAACCCGTCTGATCTCCTGATATTTCCTTGCCATATCTTGCTGTTAGGTTAAACCCCAGAACAGCAAAAGCTTACATTCATGATAATTTCCTAAATCTTTTCTTTCTGTCCTCATCTCAGCTACCAAAAAATGCCAACAATCATTTGGCAATACTTGAGGGCATGATCCAAGAATTAGCTTCAAATTATTTATCCCGCTGAACTTAATGAACTCAAACCAGATCATGCCTAAGTCTTGCCACTTCCCTATAAAGAAGGGGGTATATTTAATACTCCATCTTTTCTTTGTCTGGATAGCTGTATTTCTCACTTCAGATGTGCTATCTTGCTCCTAACCCACTGTTATACCCTCTTCTGATGATACTGCTGTAAATATCATCACCTCTCATCATTTCAACAGATACGTCTTGAGACAAATTTCCCTTCAGAAGGGAATTACATATCTTCTTTCATGCCTTAATAGCCTCCTCTTTGCTGTTCTTTTGCAAGGGAAAACCCCTCAACAACAGTCCAAAAACTCACTAGATAACTCATTTCAAGCCTGTCTCTACCAGAGCACCTGTAAAGTCACTTAACAGTAGCAAGATAGCTATTGCCTGTGAACTTGAAATGATCTTAATTCAAACCTTGCACTCTCTATTTTGCCATATTTATAAGACATGCTGTCTGTCCTTTTCATTACTGCACACAGAATTCATGACACCATAAATTCTCCCACAATGAATTTAAATATTTAGTTGGATTTTACAACCCATTTGTGATAAAAGAAAACGTCTCAATCCCAATTTCAGAAAGAAAAATCACTGCTCAGGAAGATTAAAGCTGGTATTTTCATCATGTTTGCATCACATCCATTTCTCCCACAAGGTTAGAAGGAGCTGTGGGATTGAAGTAGAAAAACTTAGAAAGGAGGGCACAAAAAAACCCAGAAGCGCTAAAAATTAATGGGTAGAGACAAATGGAGATGTAGGATTGCACAATTTACTCAAGTACGTAACAGTACTCAAGAATCAGAGCTAGCATCTAGATCTTACTGTCCAGGCAGCATCTATGACAGTCAGTTATTGTATCTGCATCTACAAACAGAATTGATGTTTTTTAAAACAGAGACCACAAAGAGCTCAGCCATTTAATGCAAACATCAATATTTACAGTAGAAAATACCTCTTAGTCTTACATAATCAACAGTTTTGAACAGAAAGGCTTAAAGCTAAATGGCCTTCTCCATGCTGACATTTAAAGTAGCCCTGAAGGAAAGGTAACTTCTGAAGAGCATACTAACTGTATATAGTATGATATTTATAAACCAAATGATAAATTAGAAAAAACAAAGCAAACTGATGTTTTACTGGCTGAACTAATCTTTCAAACAACATGGAGGCTCACAATGATCCGCACTCCATTGATCAGAGTCCTTGTATCTGAAACTTTACGTACAGTGTTTTCACAATTTATTGGCTTGAACGCATTTTAAAAACAGTACTATGAATGTCTTGGGCCAGTATCTATCAGACTTACCTTTGCTCTCACAAATTTCCAGATGCAAGTTCGATTACACATATTAATCAAATATGGGAAATATTTCTGTTCATTTTTTTTAAAAATTGTTTTTAATTTATTTTCAATTTTTACCTTAAGAGCACAGAAGATGCAAGAATCACCCATACATTTGTGCGTTGTTATTTGCCGGAAGCTGCGACGAAAAATGTCCAGGTGCCAGAGAACCTGAAACACAAAAAGGGGCACAGCCAATTTTATGAATATATAAAATAAAATACTGCATAAAGCTCTGACTAAAGTTGCACATGCTAAATAATCCCAGAAGTACACTAATGTCAGTGAACATCACTTTTAAAACAGGATGCCGTTTATCTAACTGCAAGTTGACATTTTCATCTTTCTTCCTCAGCTGTAGCATTCATATACATTAATCTACAGTAGGACATCCCTCTGAATTTCTTGCCATGTGCTTTTAGATTAAAAAACTTGCTTCTTAGTCTGTATGGCAATGCCAGCTTAAACAACACTTGCCCTGACTGCTCCCCCATACTGGCACCACGGCTGGTCGTTGTGCAGCCGCACTGTGAGGCTGGGCAGAGCTGCCAAGGACACCCCACCGACCGCTGGGGCTGAAACTCGCCCGTCCCTCCACCTCCTAGGCAGCCTCCTTGTTCTGAGCAGAAAGCCCAAATGCTGGAAGAATGGAGCGCCAACAGCATATATGTTAACAAGTTCTTGCAAGTCAAAACGATAAATTACTAAAACCATTATGCCCAATATTATCACTAGCAAGTGTATTTATGTGCCATGATTAGACTTCTAACCCTAATCTGTGTGGGCAGTTATACTCTTCTCTCAGGATAGGTATGGTGGCAATACCAGGTATGTGACCAGGTATGGTCACAGCATATAAAAGCTTTTATATGTTCTGCTAGCAACACTGAAAGGCAACATTTGCTGTAACAGCACCAAGTTTTATTCTTAAGTTTTACCACTGAATCTGTACAATCTTGGGCAATTATCTAAATTCATATCTGTAAAATAGCAACAATACCGATCTCTGAGGTGTTTCACAGTCAGCTCTTTATATTTAAGTGTGGTCGGTGCTGGCTATTTCACCTTCAACTAACAATAACTGAACTAACAATAACTCAGAGCCACCAGCCTTTCAGGAGGCAGAAGCTTGCAGTGAAAGAAGCCCTGACCTAAATCGCGTCCTGCCAGGTTCTGGACAGAGCAACAAGGTCCAGGCTGGCATCTGACTGGCTAAATGCTTCATTAGCACACACAGAGGGACCAAACTTCTTATTTCTGATTAATCTGTCCAGAACAACTGGCTAGAAACAAATTTAGCACTCTGAAAAAAGTTGTGCTGGTTTCAAGAAGTGTTTCCAGCTGGAACAATTTGTTAACTAAACCATAGCACACAAATGTTAACTAAAATTATATTTAAAAACACATTTATTGATTATGCAATCTGTAAAGTTTCCCAAAACTTTGGAATTGTCATGGATATGCTTATACTCAAACTCTCCCTATACTTAAGGGCCTGGGAGGCAACATAAGCCTTGGAACCAACAGATTACACACAACAGTCCTGAAGAACTACTGCAGACTTCACAAAAGGACAAAAAAGAAAATAACACGTTTAGAAATGAGTCAAATTTTTCAATGTAATTGCCTTCAGAGTTTATCTTGCATGTTTATAGAAATACTTCATAGTAAGGAGCAACAAACATTCAAGAGCCTCTCAGACTAACACTGAATGTTAAAAAATTAAGATTAAAAAAACCCCAGAAGTACATATTTTATGAAATGTTTACCATCTTGGGTTTTGTTTTTTTTTAATTCAGCTTTGACTGTAAATATTTTTGGTATTTTATTTCTCTTGAGCTTTAGAAGAAAAAGGTTTATGTAGAAGACTAAAGGACAGGTCGTAGGCTTTCATCTTCATGTATGGCATGCAGCTGACGTTAGGCTCTACTTAGTTCTGACCTAGGTTCAGTAACTCAATATTAGGAGGCAGCCAGAGATTACACCATACAACTTAACAGAAGCAATTAATATGGTACATCACTGGAAACCCCACTTTTCATATAAGTTCCCTTTGTACCCAAGTCCTGTATTTCATGGCATATTAAGCCTACTGAGGATCACTGATGTTTCTATTTGTATTATTTGCATCACAGGGATATCTTGAAGCCTGAAGTTAGTTGAGAACCTAATTGTGCCCCCGGGGGGTGGACAGGGACAGGACCCAACAAAAAAAAAAAAAACACAAAAAAACCACACCAAACAAAAAACAAACCAACCAGTGACACAGTCTGCTCCACAGACAAGTCATATGAAGGGAAGGAAACTGATGTGGAGAAAGGGCTTTAAACCCTGCAGCCAGGACTGAATATCAAACGTCAGACATTCAAAACATCTAAATGGTCACAATACCAGTATAGCAGCCATACCACTCCACTAAATTTTGACACAGGAAAAGGTTTTCCTTCTAAATCAAAAGGTAAAGACTCAATCATCTAAACTAAGCTAAAAATCAGCAGTTAGAAAGAAAACTGGACTACATAAAAAGGATCTTGTACAGGTATTATCAACCCTTGACCTTGACTGGTTCAACAAAAAAGTTAAATTTACTTTTAGGGAGTAGACGTACTGCAAGCTATGCAATACTCTATTATTTTAAAATAATTTTTCTACATATATTTTCATCTTTGGTTGACATATTACAAGGTTACACAAACAAGAGATTCAACTACACTAAGTGATGACTATGTGAATGCTGTTGATTTCACCAGGAAAACCTGAAAACTAAAAAAAGCTGTTCTATAACTCAACTAATCTGGATTTCCAAACATAGCTTTATTCTATCTAGGCCCACAAACAATTATGTAGTCAAGCCTGGCTATATTTGTTGCACAGTCGAGCCTAAGAAAATACTGCAATAGACAGAGGACAAAGACAAGAAACATTTTTTATTATGTGCTCTTACCTGTAGCGCACTATTCAGGAAGCAACTGTTCTGTCCCGGTTCATTGCTGAGACCTTTACTGGGTGCTATTGAGGTTGTATTTCGTGGAGTAAACATGCCCTGTACATTCCCCCGACCCACAGAAAAGTAATTTCTTTTCCAAGACATCTTCCAGTTTCAGCTGTAGAATATGCAGGTGTAGGCTGGCAGAGTATTTGACTTGATCAGAGCCTTCCTTTCTTTCACCAAAATTCAAAACTGTAACAACATCCAATCTTCTTTAAATTATAGTTGAAACAGAATTTATCCTTTCACAGGACACAAGCAGTTTGCTTCTTTTAAATCCAGCCCAGGATGCTATTCTTCATTTGATGCTTATGTATGCAAAAACCTCTTTTACAAGCAGCCACATACAAAGTTTGCAAAGGGAAGGAATCCATGGTCGTGCAAGTTCATCTGTTATGCTGCTTCTCCCTTTTCCAGTCAGTCAGTGACTTCAGGGAACAAATGACAAATTAAGGAGGTCCCAGAATCGAAAGGAGAAAAACAACAGCTACCTCCCACACCCCAAAAACCCCAGCTTCTCTAATCCTTTTATAATCCTCCTGCAGAAGATGGGAAAAAACCAATTAGTAAGGGAGCAGAGAAACCAAAACCAAAATAAAACCTTGGCAGCCCCCTTTCAGTTACATCTATCTTGGGTGATGAAAGAGACATTATCCTCACAGGGGAAAAAGAAGTAACTCCAGGACTTGAGAGCGAAGAGCTTTAAAGCAGCAAGAAGTCTCCAATAGAGTTCTTCTAATTCTGCGTGCGATCTTTAAAAGTTTCTTCTCCTGATCCTCCTTTTGCAATCGGAATGCCCAGCCGTGCCAGAAAGCTTGAGAGAGAAAAATAATCAAAGGCTTGCGTCATTTAATTACTCTCTTGGTTTTGTGGTGTTCTGCCAAGACCAGTGTTGCCTCACCTCCCACAATACACTGAATCTTCTGAGACAAAGCAAAAAATATAAACCTTCCTCCACCCAAAAAATAAAATAACATGGAAAAGAACAGAGAATTCTGAGAAAAGTATGTAAGAGCAAGAGGGCTGGAGCATGTTGGAAGCGTTGAAGAAGGAAACTAGATTAAAAAAAAAACAAAACACAACATTCATGTGAACTCCATGGCAGTTTTCATACGTAACCTTTAGTAACTTGAAGTGTTAAATTTCTTTAAGATATCTTAGTCATTCAAACAGTAGTAAGAGGATTTGTGATTCTGTGAATACATGCTACCACATTGTCCACCCTAGAACTGGGATTTTGCACTGAACTTGGAAGGCCAAGAAGACAAAGGCACAAGACTCTCCCTTGACTCAGCAGCCCACAGATCTCTCCAGAACAAAACAGTCTCCAAATTTTCTTAATCAGAAACTATGTGTATCTCTATAAAAAGTTACTTAATTTAGGTACACGTGATATACAGTGTCTTCCAAAAGACATTGATGCTTCTGAAGAAGCCGGAAGAATCATTCAATAGAAACTGCTCTTCCCACAAGTTCACTTTTGCCCTCATCTCACAGGAAACGTAAAAAAGAATTTGATCTAAGAAATTCCTAGAAACAGGAACTACAAGATTCATGGCAAAACATTTTTTTGAAGTTCTCTCAAGTGTAGCCCACCTGTATTTACTTTACAGACAATTGCATAGTATTTTCCAGGGACATTCCCAGTGACATTTAGGATTATCCCATTTTTTATACACATAACAACAACTGAATGTACCTATTATGGCTGGTATAAGCAAGATGACTCTATTCTCCATGTTCTGAAGTAGTAATTGCAGCATGAAATCACTACAAAATAGACACACAAAATAGATATTTGTGCATCAGCAAAAAGTAACTAAGAGAATAATTCCTTACAAAGATATCCCGGGTATCTGTGAAGGCACGTTTTTCACCTTCCACACAATTATAAATTCTTCATCTCCTGTCAAAACACAGAAAGAACTTCCTCAACACCTGCGAATGTGTTACAGCAGCCTAACCCATTCCCTTCTAGTAATACTTTGTTTGTACTTCTATTAAACTCATTCTACAAATATTAATGAAGTCTCAGCGTTGCTGTAAGGCAGGCAAATACCTATATACAGATGAATATTCTTCTTGGTTGCCAGTGTGCCATGCAAAATTTTCAGATGTGCTTGCAAACCTGCAGACACAGATCATTACCATGCTCGTCGCGCCACATTCCTGAGCACTGAATACATATACAGGATTCATTTCAAAGCAATTTCAGCCTCAGCCCCCTTTCTTTGCTCAATCCCTTAATGAACCATGAGCCAAGCATACTGTGTGAGGTAATTCAGTTTCAAGCAACAATTTAAGGATCTCTGTAAACCAACACCACTTGCAGTAGGTGCAGTGGCTAAGCCCGCGCCGCAGAGACGGAGCAGAACGCTGCGTGGAATGAGCTGAGGCAAGCAGGCTCTGTGCTAACTCACAAAAAACCCTGAGCCAAGCACACTGTCTTCTCCTTTCCAGAGCACCTACAAAAAGATGGAAAATACAATCTAAAACATGCCCAAGATGCACAGGTGTGAGCAGAACCTATTCAGTGGTCTTCAAGTTCAAAACAAGATTCTGCTCTCAAAAGGGGCTGTAAAACTTTACTTTTTGAGCCAAGCTGTCTCACTTACGACAAAGTGAATACATTTTTTTCTATTGATCTTTATTGTCTTGGAACCAGAATCAGATTAGAGGCTTTGTAGTTCGCCTGTCATTGCAGCAAGACTATTGCAAGCTGGCCAGGGCTCTCGCAGTAACCGTGCAAGGTTACTACCTGCACTGCATTTGCACAGGCTTAGCAGAACTGACTTCTTACCACACATTCGCTACAATCGCTCACAGGAGCAAGTTCAGTTTGCTCATTTGGCTATATAGCCTTTGCAGAGCTAAGAACAAGTGGAAAACACTTAAGCTGGTAACCACCCAATTATGACAAAACCAGATCTCTGGAGATAAATGGCAGCTTCACACTTTGCCAACCTCTAAAAACTTACCAACATTAAATAACAGCTACAAAATGGAATCCTAATTAATCTGAAATATATGTAAGACACTATTCGTATGGATTATTTACAGACCCACTTAGCTTCTGCTCTACCATAAAAAGGGTAACAAAAAGCAAGCAGGAAAAAAGAATTTTTGTAAAAACCAACCATCATTATTAAAATATCCTGTTTTGTTTCCACCACCACCGATGAACCATCAGCAGAAAAAAGCTTAACCCGCCCATACTTCAAACACCCAACATACAATTGCTAAGAAAAAAGCAGTGATCTGTAAGGGAAGAGAAAGGCTATTGCTGCGCAAGCCTGTCAGCAGATGTACGTGTTCTCTAAATATGCTGCTTCTCCCAGATACCGTGTTAGCTTGTAGGCAGTCCCAATCACAGAACTAAAGAAAATACAAAATTTACTTTCTGAAATGAAATCATGGTAACACTTCGATGAGATATGTCACAAGCTTCAGAGAATTACATAGTTAAGTGAGAAGAAAACATTTTCATATATTGTTTCTGATTAAAGAAGTTTTTGAGAAAGATTGCTCCCCTATTAAGAACACATACAAGCCAACAGCTTTTTAATAGTACAAGGAAAACCCCTACAATTGAATTGCCACCGATGAAGTTTCCCAGCCTTCTGCAGCATTTCAATGTTAGGTGACAACAACTGCAGCTCCACATAACTCTTGTATTAACAAAAATAAAAATAAAAAAAACACCACACACAAAACAAAAAAACAATGAAAACACCACCAAAAATCCACCAAAAAAACCCAGATGACAGATTCAAAAGCTGTAGCTACTGTATGTCCCAGTGGCATTTTGGCATGACTCCAGAAAACTGAGTCTGAAGTAAAAGAGAAAGGTATTATCAGACCTGAGAAAACTGTTCTTATAGAAAAGATACAGGATTCTCATTGCTGGAAATTTTACTAATACAGAAATATGACCAAAATAGGAGGAGTGCCAGATGCAAAAGCATAAATGATGCTCTTGGTTCATTACTCAAAACATTATCTGAGAGACACAATGAACTGAGGCAGAAAGCCTAAAAACTTTTAAGGTACTTGAATTTGTTTATCATATTAAGAACACTATTCACTGGAATAAGGCACAAAATAGCCTCGCCAGCGTGATTAAAAAAAGCTAACTATATCCCTGAAAAGTTGCACAGCCTTACAATAATGTTATACAAATGCTATAATAAAGAGTAAATAATACATTAAAAAATATATAAAGAATATATAATAAAAAAGAAATCCAACATTCTAGATCTTTCTTTGAATTCATGCTGTCTGGCAACACCTTTCTTTGGGAAGAAGGGAGGGCTCCCAGCTGCAGAGACAGGTGCAACAGAAAAGAGAAAGGCATGGGGCACCACTGCCATCGCATCTCCAGCAATGCAACCCCAGAACAAAGCTGGCCACGGTTCAGCACGTACTTCTGTCCTGAAGAAACCCGAGTCTGTCCTTGGAACAGCAGAGCACAGCACTCTACAAGACACATACCACAGAAGAATTCAAGCCCCTGTTCATTCTCATATTCACTTGCTAAATCAATCACATACAAACATAACATCTCAAGTTGCATCCTTCATTCTCTGGCGAGGTCCCACTATCACTGTTCATTTTAAGGGGGAAAAAAAATTGTTAACACTCCTCTCTTACTGCAGTCTCATGTCTCTCCAAACATTTTAGGCTATTGTTTGATGAACCATTCCAGGCACACGGCTGAATTAAAACAACCCTTTTAGGAGTAGGTATGGCTGAAACCACCAATGAAGATTTAACAGCGTGATAAATACTAAGAGCAGAGGTCCAGAATTTATTTTTCATTACTTCTATTTATGAATAAACTTTCAAAACACAGAACAAACTAAATGCTTCAATGCGTGAATGAGTGGGTTTTTAGAAAAGAGTCCCCCCCACCCCCAAGATCTTACCACCTTTTCTGGAGGTAGGGAGTAGATTAATGGTGTTGAGGGCAAACTGTCCTTTCACATGCCACACCACCTCTGAAAGCCTAAACAGATGAGAAATGGCTTTTAAATCCCTTATTTAAATACTTTTCATAACAAAAAAGAAGAAAGAAAGATTGTCCGAGACAATGGATTTTGGTTAAAGTTTTCACCCAGATGGCTCCTGGCAGGGTTGCTCTTTTGGTGAGGAAGCTCAGGAACAATCCCCTTGACTGATCCCATGGCTGTTCTCAGCTAGAGGGAAAGAGTTTCCACAACTAGAGGCTTGAGAACATACTTTCTCCATATAGCTGAAATGATGAAACTATTTGCTAATTTCTGCATGTATTAAATTATATTTCATTGCAGAGCTATCAATATTAAGACCTTCATTTACACTTTAGACATCCCAAAGGATAGCCAGCTTTGCAGGTCAGTCTAAATTCATTCTTGAAGGTGATGAACTAAAAGAGAGGGACAGAAAAAGTTCCCATTACCAAATAAACATGAGGCTGGATGAAGAAAAGAGTGAACGGGGCAGTGATCTTAAAGGTAAACATCCCTGACAGAAGTCAGCTGCCGCACAACCGAAGAGGGGATAACTTCCTCCTCTTGAGGATGTCTCCTCTTTTTGAGATTCTTAGCTAGCCAGAAATACTGGACAGATTGCTTTGAGCACCTAGACGATACAGCGTAACTACAAAAAGGTAGAATTTTTTCCATTCATCTCTATCTCCAATAATTTTTTGATAGTGCAAATGGGACAACAGAGAAGAAAAACTTTCTGCTTTATGCATGCATTTTGTCAGTCTTGATTGCTATGCTGGGAGAAAGAGGGGGAAAAAAGCCTGTGATGCTTTTGCTGTCAAGCTTA